GGAGGATGGAGCTGGGCTCTTCTCAGTGATGACTGATGATAGGACAAGGGGCAACAGGTGCAAGCTGGAGCACAGGAGGTTCCACATGAACATAAGGAAAAACTTTTTCACTGTGAGGGAACAGGCTGCCCAGAGGGGTTGTGGAGTCTCCTTCTCTGGAGACATTCAAAACCTGCCTGGATGCTTTCCTGTGTGATCTACTCTAGGTGGTCCTGCTCTGGCAGGGGGTTGGACTAGATGATCTTTCGAGGTCCCTTCCAACCCCTAACATTCTGTGATTCTGTGAGACAGGTTAGGGAACTACTCATGCTTACTAATCCACATCAGATCCTCCCTTGAAAGGGTGGAAAAACTGCAGTTCTCTTAATTAAAGAACTCTCCTCCTCACCACTCCTGAGAAAATAACCCTGTAGTACTCTTCCAAGTGGACATTAAGCCCTGTTAAAGCAGTTTTCCAGGTAACCCATTTTAATTCAGTCCAGATCTTTAGTGTCAGAAAGTGTTAATGTTTCGTATTCTGTGGCTAATTAGTCTGGACCCATTCAAGTTTGTGGTCAGCACTAGTAGCACAACTGATAACTGTTGTGGAGAATGGTCATGTACATGTCCCATCTTTTATACATTTTATGTCTCACTCAGATAATGCTGGGAACTGGTTGCCTAGTTTTCTGCTTTAAAAAGAGATTTCATAATTTTAGGCTAACAAACTAAGCAGCAGAGCAGTACAAAGAAATCTATTTATGAACTTTTCTTCTCTAAAGATCGCTGATGACACAACTCTGCAGGATTGTCTAGTCAGACAAAGGACAACTAAATGTAAACTGAACTTGTTTATGCCAGTGGATGAGGGCAAGTTAGGTTTCCAAAATACTTACTATAAGTGCAGTGTGTTTTCGTCACTGGATTTGTTGTTTTCCAGTATATTTGCTATTCTATTTTTTCCTCAGATTATATTTTTACACTTAATATGCACAGTAAAAGTCTGGGGAGCATGATGTAAACTTCTAGAAGAATTTGTAGTACACAAAACAAGGTGTATAGTGTCTGTGCTTAAAACTAAATTAGCAAATTAGTTATTTATAAATAAATGTAGAACTATTCAGTTTCAAGTAGGATATAGAGCTATTTTACTTTACTATTTTATCTCTTTCTTTTACAGCTTCGCTCTGTGGAAGATTTCCAGACTGTTCAAGTGATCAAACTTCTAAAATATGAAAAGAAGGTGGCTAAAATGTGTTTCTTAATGATCTCCACATTCCTTATTTGTTGGATGCCCTATGCAGTGGTCTCCCTCCTGATAACATATGGCTATAGCAACCTTGTAACTCCAACAGTAGCTATCATCCCATCTTTCTTTGCCAAGTCAAGCACTGCTTATAATCCAGTCATCTATATCTTCATGAGTAGAAAGGTAGGTACATTAAAGATTTTTTAAAAATTTTATTAATTAGTAGCAAATGCCACAGTTTTGGAGTTCATCTGATTTACTTTAATCTGTAAAGCCTAGATTTTTTAAAGAAATTGGAACAGCTAGGCTAAATAGTAAAGATCTAGTAGAATTAAAATCCCTGATGGTCCTTAAAGTACTACCAGAAATTGGATTTTAAATGTCTGAATTCACACAGGAGCACTCACATGAAAGGAATAGGAAGGAGTGTCAAAATTTAAGTGTCTAATTTTGACAGTTTACCCATGAAATGGATTACAACTAGAAAACCTCATCTGCATCACTGTCTTACCACAACAGAACTCCATCAGGGATAATTCAGAATATCTGGTGTCTCTTTTTTAGAAAGAAAAAAACTTGCCTCTGACTTTTCCATTATGGCAACACAAGGACTGAACAACTCAGCATAGTATTTCGAATATTACACCAGTAATATCTCTCAGAGCTTCATTGTATTCAAAGCCAGAATCTCATGTGGATGACAGTGCAATGTTTTTTGGAGACAAATTATACACTGTTAAGAAGGCATACTTATCTGTGAGAAACAAGTTTTTGGTTTTGTCTGCTTTTGTAGTCTTCATTATGAAAAGTAGACTGATGATTTAATGGTGGTAACTAGCTAATTTCAGAGCTTTACAGAGCAAAGAGAGAATGGAAGTATTTGGAGTTATGAGTGGTATGTCAAATACATGGAAACTAGAAAACTATACATCTTTCTGTAATTCATCAGTACTATGAAGATAACCACTGAATGCAGTTAAGCAGTGTTGATTAATTCATTTAGACATTAAAATAGCTTCATTATAACCCAGAACACTAACTGGAAGTGTAACATGCATATTGTAAACTTATGAAACCAAGATTCTATAGAGTTAAAGATATTTGGAGTTTAATAGTGTCACTTGACAAAGGGTAAAACACCATGAATAATTGCTAGAAGGATTTCCTTGAGTTTTCATTACCTTTAGCTCATTGTAGAGATGGAATTTTCTGTGGTTTCCTACAGTGGTTTGCAATTGCCAGGCAGCAGCTTGGGCCAGCCAGCAGTCTGTAGGGACATGGCAGCCAAATCAGTGGGTCTGATCAGCCAGGCAAAGTCTACAGTGCGGCTCAGGCCAGGACCAAGGGCAGGGATGAGCTTAAATGCTGTTCCTGAGTGAAGGCAGGAGGCCCGCCATGTGGCATCTTGCAGCTCTTCCCCACAGGTCATTTCACAGTAGGCTACTCCAAGGTTATAGACAGCTGCATGATATCAGAGCTGGCCTGGACATGGGGAGCTGACAACAATCATGTTCAAAAAGAGTATTTTTCAACAGAGTGATTTTTTTAATACAGTGGCACTTACTATGTACCTAGGTGTCAGGCTGAATAGTTTATCTGAAAAAGATTTTGTAGGTTCTGATACCCAGAAGCAAATCAAACTGGTACCAGATACAATGCCAGTAAAGTCATAGCCAGGATGAGAACAAATCAGCTGAACGTGCTTCTTGGAGATGAGTTGTCAGGTACATCTCATTCACCCCTAATTCCAGGTTAAGACCAAAACTATAGTATTTTTGCATATCTTCTGGGTTATTTTGCCCTCAGAAGGAATCCTAAACCCAGTTCTTCTCTGTAATATCCTTCCTCTATCTGACCTGTTCTGACGTGCTTGTGCTTTCTCACTTCTGTGCTACTCGGAGGTACCACATTATTTCTGAAATCTTCAAGGCCTCCACGTGACCATTCACTTGCACGTGATTATCTTTCTCTGTCATCTTGTAACTCTCTAGGTCCCCTTCGCAACAGGACCTATTGCCTCCTCTGTGTCAGAGTAGGATTAATTTCTTATAACAAAACCTTGTACCAAACTGGCATGTTGGAGGCTTCTTGCATAACAGCTGGAAAAACAATATCACGGGCCACGCAGGATAATGCAGAATAATTCTTAACAGAGTTTAATGGAAGGCTGTTGAGAAAGATGTCCTACTCCCTTTTCAGAGAAAAGGTGGGTTGTTCCACCCTTGCCCCCCAGTTTGTTGGTGTGGGGTTTTTTTGAGGTTTCTTTTTTGAAGTCCTCTTCATACATTCCAGGCATGTCTTGTTATGGGTTATTAAAAGAAGAGGAAGCTGCCCACTCATTTCTTGTAAAACCTGAGAATTTCCCCAAAGGATCATATTTGAGCTTTAGATGTGCGCAGACACGGAACTACCAAATGAGTGCATCCTTTAACCCTGAATGCTTTGCTTTGTGAAGGGGAAACTATAATTGGAGCATTTAAAACAGTGCTACTACTGGAATTATCATTCTATATACTGGTGCGAGCTTTTACTGAACACCTTGCATTACTTAGTCACAAGGTAGAACATGCTTCCTGTATCATAAGTGGCTTCTAGTTAGTTGAAACACTTCTTCCGTTCCTTCCATATTCAATGGGAATATTTTATTTCTGTGTTCCAACCACTGAAATTTCATTTTACATCTGTGACTTTAAATGCTTTTGTTAAAATTCCACATCCTGGAGTTACTTAAAAGGAAGAAAACATCACTTTGTATCCCTTTCCTCTTATTGTTCCTTCCTTCCGCATCCTCTTGTGAAGTGTTTCTGAGAATATTCTTCCCCTGCTAGATCAAATGTGTGGCTTTTGAATACAGGAGCAATACCTGTAGCACACTTTGGAGCCTAGTCCTCTTGTTCGTTGCAGATTGTCGACTGCAGAGGCTGCTGGTGGTAAAATATTAAATTGCTTTTCAGTGCCCTCTACTGCCTAGGTGATCCTATTCAGCTCTGGTGTAAAGTAAAAAGCAGTACCCACGAAAAAGCCACCATGTTTGTTACAGCACTGAAACTAACTCAGAACAAGGTGGAGATACACAGAAATCTGGTATCTTGAGTCATTTACTATACTACTGTCTTCACTGGATTGTATGTGATAATGAACGCTTAGGAAGCGAATGCTTAGGAAGTTGTAACTTCATTCTATTTATTCTCTCTTGCAGTTTCGACGGTGCCTTTTGCAACTCCTGTGCTTTCGCCTGATGAGATTCCAGAGGACTGTGAAAGAGACACCAGCAACAGGGAATGACAAACCAATACGACCAATAGTTATGTCTCAGAAAGCAGGGGACAGGCCAAAGAAGAAAGTGACTTTCAGCTCTTCTTCTATCATTTTTATTATCACCAGCGATGACACTCAGCAAATAGATGACAACAGAAAACACAATGAGACAAAAGTAAATGTCATCCAAGTAAAGCCACTATAGGGATGAGCTAGAGAGACATAAGAATGAGGTAGATTTCAGCCAGTAGACTGTTTAGGTTGGAGACTGGTTTCAGTGGCAGTGTCTGTGGGCTACCAAAGGAAACTGCATTCTTAAGCTGTGAAATTCTGAAGGGATTCTGCATCTGAAGCTCTGCAGGCAGTTCAGTTTTGGTCACAGTACTGAAATCTCTGCATCTGTGCCAAAATTTCTGATGGTTGTCTTTACTCTGAATTTTCTTAAAGCATATTGTAGGGTTGCCATTCAGGAGAACTTGGTCAGGCTGGAGGAATGCACTGACAGAAATGTTGCAATGTTCAGCAAGGGCCAGTGCAAAGTCCTGTGCTTGGGAAGGAAGAACAATGCTGCAGCACAGCAGACTGGGCCCTGGCTGCCTGGGATGCAGCTCTGTGGAAAAGGATGTGGAGTCCTGTTGCTCAATAAGTAGGGCATGAGCCTGCAGTGTGCCCCAGAAGCGAGGAAGGGTGCCAGCATCCCATGCTGTACTGACGAGATCGGAGCCAGTAGTCTGAAGTGATTATGCCCTTGATTCAGCCCTCATTAGATCGCATCTAGATACTGCCTCCAGTTTTGGGACCCCAATACAAGAAAGTCATCTGTAAATCGAGGTGAATTCAGTGGAGTCCCCCAGGATTGTCAGGGGTTGTGGTACTATGAGAGGAAGCTGGGAGAGCTGCATTTGACCGGCCTGGAGATGAAACACCTTCAGGGGAACCTAATAGCAGCCTTCCAATAGAGACAGGGAGGTTTTCAACAAGATGGAGCCAGCCTCTTCAGGGCGATTCATAGTGAAAGGATCACAGACAATGAGCATGAACTGAAACAGGAGAGATTTGGATTGGATGTAAGGAAAAGCTTTTTCACCTCGAGGACAGCCAAGCAGTGGAACAAGTCAGACTAGAGATTTCCTGAGGTTCCTTCCAGCTTCAGTTATCCTGTGATCCCTGAACTGCCAGCATTCCCAGTGCACAGAGTTATCAGGGAAGAAGGAGGAATGTTTGAAGTTGGCTGCAGTTCAGTTGGTCTGAATTGGTGCTTTGCAGGGTGGTGGGTGGTAGAAGTCCTGGTGACAATAACTAGGGTTATGGTTAAACCAGAAGCCCCCAGAAGGCTGTCCCTGTGTACTCAGCAAGCCATTCTCTTGGTGCTACCTGGTAGGACCCTTGACCTACACAGTGAAGAAAATCATGCAAATCAAAGCACCAATAAAAAAAGGTCAGTGAAAAGGGAGAATCGGATTTTTTGTTTGTTTTGTTTTTTGTTACAATGTATGCTTTATACATCGTTATCTTGCATCTGTTTATTCTGTACACGGACCAGGAGCATCATCCTATATTAGTCCTGAACCTGCTCTGGCACTCTGGTGAAATAACAGTTAAGAGAAGAGCAGGGTAACTTATGCCTAAGGTGCAATGTGAGTATTGATTGTCTTACTTGGAGCTCAGTAAAGAGAACAGATACAGATATTTTCCTCCGCCCTTACCTTTTTAAGTGTTGCTGGTACAAAACAGTGACAGGATTGTGCCCCAGACACGGCTTCCTGTCAGCACTGGGCAAGTAAGTTAGAGAACTAATTTTGAATTCTTGCAGGTGGTTCTTTACATCATCTGTTGCACTGGTGTAATTTCTCTGCCTCAGTCTGCTAAACGAGTGGTGTGGATCTGCAATATGCAGCTTTCCCGTCTATGTGAAAGCTGTAAGAAAAGCGATTAAGAAAATACTTGCTTCCTCTGGGAGCAAATCTTCTGAAAGTTATAAAGGGAACATGCTGAATAACTGTTGGCACTGTAGCCATTGGTACTGCCATCAAGAATAAAACTTCAAAAATAACTAGAAAAAATCAGGGTCTAAATGTAGAAGCTTTCAGCTAGTTCCTGGGAGTGGAGAGTGACCCCAGTTTAGAACAAGTGACTGACTTTGTGCTTGTGCCTGTGCTTCTGAAGAGGCAAATTCCTTATATGTGCACCCCTCTAGATCTTTAGCACTGGTAAACTGGCTCTATGTCACGTTTAAAAGTGCATGCTGAATCCAGTCTGGTTTCTAGATTAAATCATATAATCTGAGAGAAAACATATGATAAATACTTTTTCTTTTATATTTGTTATTTTTGTTTTGCTACAAATGCATAGGTAATTTGTCTTACCATGTTGACTATCTGCCCTTACTAAAGCATGTTCATTGCAATGTCAAGAATGACGTTTTCAGCCAGTGATCACTACATCTATGCACATTTATGTTTATATATATACAAACGGAGAAAGGTGTACATTAGCATTCCATGTAATGATTCCATCCTTTTAATAAAATACTTGGCATTTTAGTGTGTTCTGTATATTGAGCCTGCAATGACTGATGAAATGTACCTTATATCAATGTGTTCTCAGTGAAATATTTTTTTCCTCACTAAGAGGGAGGTGGTTTGGTATCTAACTTGTTGGATACAGCTTGAAGGGAGGCATTAGGCCCTGAGAAAACAATAGCATTTCAGGATTCCAGTTGACCTTTGTAAAGAACAAGTATAGGGTCTGTAAAGAAAAACTAATCACTGTTCAGATTTATAAAGGTAAAACTTGAGTAATTAACAATACAGTATATGATTTTTTGAATAATTGATGTGCAACATATTTATCACTACAATATGTAGCACTAACAGTTATGTAACAAAATACGAAAACTAAACACTAAAAATTGTTGTAAATTTGTTATCTTGGCTACTTTGTGCAAAATGGTGGCCTAAAATGATAAAGTTTATGAACTGTTTGAGGTAACTTATTTTTATAGCCATTAAAGTGTCACTAGCTTTTTAAGTGTGGCCATGTGAAGTTAGCATGCTGCAGTCCTTTTTTGCTCATCTTTTAAGCTTAATTATTTTCTGTGGGTAGCTGCAGCACTGATGCAAAATTCACACCCTGCTACAGAGTTTAAGTATTGTTAACAGTCTTTGAGTATCACCAGTTTACTTACAGATTTGTTGTATTTTTTAAAAAAATTCAAGCCTGTCTTTTGGTCTATTCTGGGAATGTTGCAACTGGCTAGTTTATTACAGTGGAGATGCAGAGACTTATTCAGGACGTTTCTCTCCCATTACAGGGAATGGAAGAGGAAGAGATGGTTAGCATTAACATTTGGACCATTAGCTGTTCCTAAAGTAAAAGAAATGCAGACTAAGAAAGAGGAGAAGGAGAAAGTGTGAAGGGCGAAAGGATAAGAAGAGATGAGAAGGGTACATTATTTACGAAGATTTTAAATAAACTAGTTGGTAAGAACTTTCATGATACTGTCATTCAAAGGGGAGTAGCAGGTTTGGTGAGTACTGTGATAGCCTCAGAGCTAATTCATTACTCATAATGATGTTTCCTTGATTTCATGCATTACTGGAAAAATACATACGATTTAGCTAGAATGCCGTTTGTAACCTACCAATGCAGGAGCCTCAGTTAAATTGCCTCCCAGCAGCTGATGTGTCAGGACTCTGTTGGGAGGCATTTCTGCATCTCCTTCATGCTGGGGAAAGAATCCCCTCTCACCCTGTGTTTTGAGGCAGTCATGAATCCTGAAGCTGTGTCCACCGACCTGCCAGTTCAGGGGCTTCTGCTGCTGCTCTGGATCCCATGGAGGCAAGAAACTGTAGGATGTGTGGTGCAGACCTTCTACGCAGCCTTATGACCTTCCTCCTTTTTCAGCCTCCAGAAGAAGCTAGATTTATGCTGAATGTATCTGACTTCACTCAGAAGAGTCAGGTCTTATACTACTAAGACGTTGTCTTTTATCGCAATGATTACATCAATCAGGAGATCAGTATTCACAAGCATTATCCTTTGTGCTCCTGTCCTTTGCATAACAGCAGTATCCTGCGGCTGTTTCCTGCTAGAATATTGCAACAGCTAAGTGAAATGGATTCAAGCACTATATTGTGCTAAACCATCCAGAAAGAACAGCCTTTAAGAATACATTTATCCTTGGGTTATATAAACAACCTTCAGCTCAAGAATGGAATTTGACTGTTTAATATTCCAAGGTAAGAGATGAGAAAAATCTGACTATGATGGTGGAAGATTTCACAAAGTCGTATTTGACCCACATATAAACATCTCGGTTTGAAAATACCTCTTGTCAGGTGTTTTGTCAGTCTGTTTCACCACAGTTAAGAAGCTGTATTTTTCGTCTCTCATAAAGGAAAAAAGGAGGAGGGGGGTGAGGCTGGAACAGTCCCAGAGGGTGGGGATGCCCGTTGCTGTTGCTATTAAAGGTTGGCGGTAGGTGCCACTTTCGAGTTGGACTGTTATTTGCACATGCCTCGTCCCTACCTCGGTGGCAGCAAAAGCAGGATGAAAAGCAGGAGGGAGAAGTGCACGGCTGATCTCCCTTTGTTCTGCCACAGGCAGGCACTGCAGCCTTTAAGTGCCACTTGCATGACACCCAAGGCTGCTTTGCCTGCTGCTCTGACCTGGCTCTGCATTTCATTTATCCAGCTCAAACTGAACATTATGAACGCCGTTCTTTCTCTCTCCTTACCAGATTAGTATTGAAAAACTACTTGTAACGCATTAAGCTGAAGAGGAAATTAAATTGATTTTCAGTACAAATTAGAATGCAGGTTGTTAGCAACAGACGTGGCATCCAAAGCTGCCTGGACTTGGCTCTTCTGCCTGTCCTTTCGTTGCACTTTCAACAGTGTTTGCGCTCCCTCTTGTGGCTTGCTCAGCCCCGTGCTTGCTGATAGAAGAATGAGCCTGGCCTCCTGAAAACCTGTTTTCATTACGCACTTCGCCTGCATATGGGGAGATTCACTGTTTCATGTCTACTATATTTTGTTTATATTGCATATACTTCTGTCTTTGAAAAATTATAGGAAATAGATATCTCTAAATAATAGGAAATCTGGCTTGTCACCGTGATAATTTGAGGAGCTTGTGTCTTTGCACGTTCTGGAGAATGCAGCCAGATAGAAGGCTGATTATATAGATTGTGTAGGCATAGTG